GTCGAGTGGTAATCAGTGATCACTTCCTGACTTTATTGACGTGGCTACCGTCGTCCTGCGAGTCTGCGCTTCGTTTCCGAGACACGCAAGAGTCGATTGGAGTATGTGCGGAACAGGCCGCAACGGAGCCTAGCCCGCTAGCAAGTGTCGGCTGCATCGATGTTTTGGCTCCTGGCCTTGTCTTGTGCAGGCGCGGGCTGCACGTCAGATCATATTGTAACCTTTGCGATATACGCTCTGCGGTTGGCACATTATCTCTCTGCAGTTTTTCCGTGGTAAGAAGCTTCCACAAGATTCTGGATGCTCTTGCGCGGCCCGCTGTCGGTGATGATGACCGTGCCATCGGACTTGAGCTGTGAGGACGCGGCTCCCAATCCTCTTGGAACTTGATAAGCTCCTGCTTAATCTCCGCACAATCGCTCGAGACGATCCAGGCACCAAACTTATTCGACGACTGTATCTTGAAGTGAGCAATCGGGGCAGGGATGGCGGTTGGCCCTTCCTCTGCGACAGTGTCCCACGTCTCCTTGCGGAACCACTGCGCGATGTACGACATGGGTACATCGGAGTACTCTTTGCCACCGGCTCTTTCGGCTCCCTTTGGATCAGCCCATATCTTTCGCATGAGCAGATGCGTCCCACGCCGTGTTCTGTCCTGGGGGTTAATAACATTACCAAACATGAAATGTTCCCAGCCATAACCCCATTCAGTCTCTGGGCAGTCAACTCGAATGTACGGTTCATTCAAATTACCTCGTCGCATTACTCCGATGGCATGAACAATTTCATGAATGAGCGTAGCGGCGAAGAGAAAATCGTGCCGAAATTGCGCACAAAGTGAGGCCGCTTCGTACTCACCGTCGCGATAGTAATCACGGAAATAGTCTGCCAGTTCAATCCTGCAGGAGTATCTCCCTTGAAATGCTGGGCAGCAGGACGAGGTATGCGCTGGTCCTTCGTTGTCGCGTATCGTGCGAGCATATACTCGCTTGGTCGGAGGCTGGAAACGGAAGGAAACGCTGTGACCGAGACAATGCAGAGCCTCACGTACTCCGGCCAGGTATATGGCACGTTTCTCTTCGCAAACGCTAGCCAAGGGATCGGATAGATAGGTCTTGCTTGTACATCCAACAGTACTTGTTAATTCGCGCCCGTACAACAGCGGTACAAAAAATATTAGAAGAGATTCATGAGTGATAAAATGTGAGGCCAGTTGGAGCATCTGCCGCATCGGCCCCTCGCAGTCAAACCAATGAAACATGGGATGGACATGATTATCCAAATTTCCCGGTAGAACGCCATCATCTTCCAGGAGTTTGAAGCGATCGTTCTTGTTGCATGCTGCAATCAATCCATTGATTCCGGAGCTCGTTTCAGGAGCGAGGCGTTTGTGTCGAGGTGGTGTCCGTTCTGTCATCGTCTGTGGATATGGGATAGGATCTTGCGCACCTGTACTCGAGAAAACCAGCTGAGTATACATACCGTGGACAAGGCCATTGTGGAGAGTATTCGAGCAAACAATGAGACAAAGCGCCGAAACAGTTCTAATGCAACGTTGCGAATGACGGGCAGAAATAGAAGGGAGTGTGACAAAAACGAAACAATGAATTGTTCTCCTGTCTCCAAAAGAAACGTCGAAAGCTTCAGCAACTGCCTAGAAAGAGACAGGTTTACAGTGTGAAGCATTGGCACAATGATTCTGATATGGCATTATTTCTCTGAGCCCAATGTGGGGAAGCGTTTGAGGATGTAGGGTAGGAGGACTGGGTGTATGCCTTCGGTGCGACCGATGGCACAGATCAAAACTTAAGAGATGACATTTGAGTAAGAATGCGCGTACAAATTCAATGAATTTGCACGTGATCCGGGCGAGAAGTGGGGCGGTACACAGCTGTCAAACTTACATAGGTACCGCCGCGAAACTCCGCCTCGATACTGCAGAACCTACCTACCATATCCTACTGCCGATGAGGTACCAGATCGCAGTACTGGTCCTCAAGAAGTACGAGGGAAAGACGCTTCTGTCCGCAGCCGGCTAGAATGACTGTTGCGCGAGTTCGAAGAGTTCCACGGCTATTGTATCACCTCGTACCAGCCATAACGGTATTGAAGGGGATATCGTGTATGGGAGTGTAGGACAGGAGGCCCAGAGTACCACGCAGTACCACGCAGTAGGTTTTGTGATCCCTCATCCTGTTATGCTCCAGAGTTTCCGTGGATGACAGCGAACGACGCGCAAAGTCGGTAGCAGCGTTCTAAGGTTGAATTCGTCGATGAGTACAGTACCTGCCAACCTCATGGATCCCCATGTCGCAAAGTGATAGGAACGACGTTTCGTTGGACGCGCTGAGTCGGGCGGGGAGCTTATATAGGTAAACCGTGACGATGGATGAGATCAGAAGAAGGGAAACCCACACGCGTTTTGGCGTTATGCGCTAGCGCGTGTTTAGCGTGTTTTCTGTGCCCGCTCCACATGCAACCGCACGATCGGTGTTTACCGACCGTCCGTCAACCCCATCAGCCCGCATTCACGGCACCAGCACCAATCGAACAGGCTGGTCATGGCTCTTTTCGTCCCAGTATAGACGTCAGTACTACTCTCGGACTCGCTTGGGTATGACACTCGATGCGAGCAATTCTTGTCTAACGCTTCAAGACCGTGTTCGGGTGGCGGTCCGCTTTCAATCGCGTGAGCATTCGCTGCGTGCCGGTACCAACAGACTCGAACCTCAATTGATCGTGACGATTACCAGCGACTGGCGAGAGCGGTCATCCCATAGCAGAAGCTGAAAGCGAGGTGTACCGGCGTGGTTAGTCACGAGATTCTCCCAGAGAAAGCTAGGGGATATGGACTTCATTTGGATGATTGGCCATGGTGTAAATCTGCACCTCCCTTGCATTCAGAAATGCCACGGGGTGTCATCCGGGAACGAACAAGACCGGCCTTGGATTCGTCAATACCTGTGCCTGGATGCCCCTGCGATTCAATCCTAGAGTTTGTCAAATTCATGCTAGGCACATGAATTACCATCATGACGAAGACTGAGACATTTTATCGTTTCCACCTGCGGATTATTATGGCAACTTTACGCCGAGGTATTTGAATTATTCTACGAAGTAGTGTCATGTAAACTTTGCACGGGATGCTGCCGGTACCTACCACAGAACATCACCATCCAGATGATTCGCGAAACGTGCCACAAATGACACGGTATCCAAGGGTTTCAACTCAACTTCAAGGACGCAAGAGTCGACCAGAGTGATGTTGTCGACTCTTTCCTGATACCGGGCGATGATCTTGTTCTCTTTTGTGCCAGTCCGCCGGACGGCGGCGCGCGATGTCACTCAACTGGATTGCAACCTGTTGGAAAGGTCCACCAGCAATATGGTCAGGAGCAGGTGAATGTTCAGTAAGGAGCATCTCACCGAGTATTCAGGAGCACCCTATCAAATACATAGTACCAGATCAGGACCAGCTTCCATAGTATATGAGGGCGTCTCTCCTCACATTTCAATCGATATCTTCTTCATTCAACTTTCTCATTCAACACAACCCCCGCGAAGAGAAGCTGACGTGGAATCCGACCTCGCAAGACAAGTGCGGGATTCTCCGGCCAGCCTCTTTGCTACCTCTACAAGGCATGCCTCTGCAAACGAGACAGTGGCAGGAGTGGAACCGTCCATGCCTCCATTGCAGCCTGTGTCGGCAAAATTCCTCAGCAGCATCGCATCCACGCCGGATTCCGATAATCAATCATCACGGCATATAAAGCAACTCATCGCTGTACAAGCAATGCAGCAACAACGCCTTGAGCAGTCTTCGACCAAGTTCAGTACACCGCCGGAGTCGCACAACCACCTGTGGAGCTGGGCCCCATTCGAACGCGGCACCAGTATACCATATCAAACTCGAAGACAGTTACAATAACAGGTAGGCAACACAACGGTCTTTTAACAAAGACTAGCTAACCATGGACAAGTAGTGGACCCTCGGTTAAAGCAAATGCCAACTCAGCAACACCTCAAGGCTCCACCAGTGTCCTGACTGCCATACTCGATCGCGATGTAAATATTGCAACAGACACTCCTACGTGCAGCCCGGCAAGAAATGGCGTCAAACATGAGAGACAATCCCCGTCTGCCGTTTAAGGCTGAGCCCCTGTTCCATGGTCCGACCCACGCTTTTAATCTAGAAGCTGTTTTCAACCATTTCCGCAGATGGATAGCCCAGGACGAGCCAGCCCCAAACGATCACTGTATCCGAAAGGTCATCGAGCCACATAGTCCAAACATCGTGGAACCCGGCGTAGCCAAGTCTCTAAAGGTACTAGAGAGTTTAGAAGTAAAGTTCCCGCAGATGCGCACTTATAGGTCTAAACAACTAAACCGCCACCACCGCAAGCCCACCGAAAAAACCATACATACCGTAATTGGCGTTATGCACAGTATCATATCATCAACCAACGCCATGCCCGCCACAGAACGCCTTACCAATATTCCCACAACCTACATGCATGCATGCGTGCACCGCCGTCGTAACCAAATATCGTGGAAACAAGCAATACAGATCCGCTCTTCCCAAAATTCCGGTCAGAGAATCAAATTCGGCGAAAAGAGCTCACAATCCTTATAAAATGCGTTTCTTAACTACTAAGAACGGCGCAGCAATAGCATCGCGAGAAACACAGTATTTCTACTAGATTCTAATACCAGTGTAGTATAGGCAGAGGCGTTCCATTCTATCTAACCCCTTATTATATATCCAAGGACTTTCTCTCTCTCTCTCTCTCTCCGATCTTTTCTTCTTACATAGGTAGTTTCCAAGTTCTAATTTCATTTTCGCATTCATGCCCACCTACCCAGCACCCTCTTCCACGAAACCCAAAAGCCGGGTACCTAGTGCCAGAGAAACTAAAAAAAAATCAAATAAAAAACCTCTCCCTCCCATCCGCTCAACCATTACAAAAAAAACCCACCAAAAAAGAATAAGTGATTCGATGTGGTCACTACGAGGGTCGAACTCGCGACCTTGGCGTATCATACCAAAGACAAATGGGTATTAGCACCACGCTCTAACCAACTGAGCTAAGCGACCGGAAAGGTTGTTAACAGAAGATGTTAATATGAAGGTCTGAAAAAATTGTATATATCATAAATAGTTTATGAGGGGTAGGTAGACGGGAAAGGGTTCCACACTAGAATTAAGCGGTGTGGGGTCCAGGCTGGTGATAGCCCTTGATGAATGTAACTTACGTCTAATGCTTAGGTAACCGGACCACAAAATAGATTACTGCTTGGGAGTAGATGGTGTCAATTTTGTAGCGCTCCCGGTCCCAAGACATGTTAATCATAAAAGCACATATAGGAAGCTTGTATTATTTCGCTGCTATCGGCAGATGATTGCTTGTCATTATGCTCCCTCAGTAGAGCCTATACCCGACGTCTATAAACTAGCTCCGATGGCATTCACGGTTAGAACCGAGGCCCGCACGCCACATTTACCAGAATACTTCGTGGACCTTCGTGCTCGTCAGGCATCATCAACGTCTACCAATCCTTCCGCATTGAAGCGGGGAGCGACACGGACGCTAGCGTGTCGGTCGTCTCGGACAAAGGTGTGTTAGTTCCGCTCCGAGCAGCAGCAGCAGCAGTGGCTCTAGCAAGCTTCTTCTTATGAGGCTTCTTCTTACTTGCATTCGCAGCAGAAACCTTGGCCGTCATCTCGCCGCCACCGGCTGCCTCATCCGGCCAATCAAAGCTCCACCGACCGTCGTCCTTGAACGGCTCCTTCTTTATGAATTTGGAGACGTCGACTTGTCGCCTCAGTGTCTCTAAGTATCCAGCTACCACGCGCAATACGTCACCCTCCATCTGCTCAGGCGTGGCTGAAAACTCAGGGATCTCGAGCAAGTTATGTGGCTGGGCACTGGCTTTGATCGCGGAATCGTCGATAAGAACTGTGTTGTGCTGACCGAATCGACCACCGGTGTTGTAGTCTGGGTGATAGGACTGTATCTGATTCCGGCTCCACACTAGTTTCAAGTTCTTGTACACCTGCACGTTCTGTTGGTAGTTCGTCGGTGATAGTCCGAAGCTGTCCCGGGCCCACTGAGCTACGAGCTTGGCGCGGAGGTCGTCCTCCAGAGATTGACTGACAAGCGATTTGACGTTATCGGGTTTGGCACTAGACCACACCATGACCTTGAAGTTATCGAACAGATAACGCATAAATGGCTTGAGGAAGGGGCGCTGGATCATAGTTCTCGCCTTACGGTTGGGCCGGTAGAGAACGGTGCCGTTGAGATCGAGGATGACCAGCAACTGACCAGGCAATTCCGTAACGGATGGCTCGCCAGCAGCCTGGTCTAGATACTCGGGCGTGGGCTGTGGCGCCGGAAGCATGATCTTTTCGTCGCCGTATCGTCCCTTGTCAACAGCAGGTGGCTTTGGTGCTTTGGAGGTCCTACGAAGCTTGTTAATCCGAGAACACGCCGCTTCGCAGGAAGCGATACGATGAAGGGTGGCATACTCTTTCTGCTTGACATGTCCGTTGGTAGAAGGCCCAGACTGTGGCTTCTTGCCTGGAGGAGTAGGCGCCCTGTAGGAAGCGTTAGTGCTGCGTTTCTTGGACTTTTGGCCTGTGAGCAAGGCATCAAGACCGTACTGTATGTCCTCGCCCATGGCATCGCGTGGATAGTTTAGCGGCGACTGCATTGTATGGTGGTGGGCGCGACCGTGAAACATGGGCTGGGACTGCTGTGCAAATGGCGACCAGGCGCGGTACTGGGACGGGTGGCCATATGGCGGCAGGCGAGGATATTGACTTGGTGGTGCGGCGAAAGCCTCTGGGCCGGGGTAGAAGTTGGGCGGAGGGGGTGGTGTTGCATGCGCATGTCCATTGTAGCCGTTGTACTGCATCCACTGATGGTATGCCTGCGCTTGCTGGTGGGCGATATGGTCGTTGTACGACTGTTGGCTGCTGTACATGGGCGGAGGCGGAGGCGGAGGCGGGCACGGCGCATGCCATGGGGCATCTGGCGGGCCGTAGCGCGCTTGCGGTAGAGGCAGCGGGCGTGGTGGAAGCTGGTGATCGAAGGGGGCGAACTGCTGCTGGCGACGACTGCCATCAGAGCCGCCAGGCCTAAAAGGCAGCGCATGCGGGTTCCACTGGTCGTTCATACCGGCCGAGGAGGCTTGACAGCCTGCCGTGGTCTTGTCCGTGTTAGTGGGAGAGGTTGCGACGGGCGCAGCGTGGGGGATGCTGTACCGATCTGACGCGACTGCAGCCATGGAGCACGTGCAATGGCGACGGGCACTGGGCAACGAGAAATATGTCGTCGGTGAAAAAGCGACCAATGTGGAGGTGAAGGTGACGGAGACGGAGACGCATTGGCTGTGCTGCTGAGGAATTTGGGCGCACCACGCAGTTGCCTGGTGGCTGACTCAGCGCTGTCGGGCGATCGTAGCACCGATGGTGGTGGAGGGGTCCACCAAAAAGTCGACTTCCTTCGTCTACTGTGCATATCTACGTTACTCTCCACCTGCAATGCCCCTCGCCACCAAGCTCGACCGCACACTGCGGCCGGCTGAAGAGAGCTCGGATGGAGAAGACTACTACCAAGTCACCGATCGCTCCTCTTCCGCGTCTGTAATCGAGGCCGACGACAGCGGCGGCATTATCAGCTCAGATGGCGATGACGCAGACGAGCAAATGGTGAGCCTCAATGCGCATCTTCCCATAGACACGGCAGCTCCACTGACACCGGAAAGTCCGACGCCTCTGGTGACAGCCACGTGCACACGCACATGAGCAAAGTCTCGTTTGGGGCACTAGCCAAAGCGCAAGATGCCCTCTCGAAACAGCAGTCAACGGACCGGAACCGCAAGCGCAAACGAGGCGACGAAACATCGAATTCCCACGAGGAGAAGCTAGAAGCACTGAGAGAGAGATTGCGGCAAATCAAGGCCGAGAAGCTTGCAAATGGTGCACAGCCGACCAAGAAGGCTAAGACTGCGACCACGAACAGCGTCACCCGGCCTGGACACAGCGAAGACGATGAGGCCACGGACGACTCCCATTCTGATGCAGCACCACGTGCACGCTCGAGCAAGCACGCTCCCGCCGTGCAATCAAGCAAGCGCATGGTGTCCCGCAAGCGAAAGGTTGTCGACGTGAAAAAGCCAACCTTCCGAGATCCACGATTCGATAATGTATCTGGACCGCGGCCCGACGAGCACGTGGTGGGCAAGCGCTACTCGTTCCTCAACGACTACCGCGCATCGGAGATCGCCGACCTGCGGAAGACCATCAAGAAGACGAAGAGCGAGGATGAGAAGGAGCGCCTCAAGAAACAGCTGCTGTCAATGGAGTCGCAGCAGAAGACCCGGGAAAACAAGGAGAAACTGCAAGAGATAGCGCGCAATCACAAGAAGCAAGAGAAGGAGCTGGTCAAGCAAGGCAAAAAGCCATTTTTCTTAAAGAAGTGTACGTCCATGCCTCTCTGCCCGTCTGGACTGTACACACTAACTCGTTATCCTAGCCGAGCAAAAGAAGATGGCCCTGGTCGACCGCTTCCAGAACATGAAGTCGAAGCAGCGCGACAAGGTCATCGAACGGCGCCGCAAGAAGGTCACTGCGAAGGAACGACGGAACATGCCGGACGAGCGACGAACTGCCTGATACCTGTAACATCCTGTGAATATTCGCGTTCTTTTAATACAGATACCCGTCATGAGACTGAGTCAACTATTCGCCAACTTTTTATAATCAACGTTATGCAAATCCTCGGGGAGGTTATTGAGAAAGCATTTGAACATGGCCTTTGGAGGGCGCTTATTATTTTAGACACAGGACTCTGTTCTTTTCACTGCAGCGCGACGCAGAGCGTTGTCGTGGACTAGTGTCGATCGACGTCACACTTGCCACATGTGTAGCCCCTGCACTTCTTCCGTCCTCCCAACCCGCTCACGCTCTTCGAGCCGAACCCCTCCCAACCACAATTGAAAATGACAGCCCAGCCAGCGCCAAAACTAAGGCGCAAATCGCATGGCGTATGCAGAATCGCATGCGGAGTGGTTTGTCTGATCGTCAAGATCCTTGGTGGGCGGGCGAACTAGGCGGGGGTTGTGCGACGGGAGCAGGGGTGTTCACCAAGGAAGCATGCATCTAGATCGGCATCATTACACTCGCTACGTCATTCAGGTCAGCCAAGGAGGCTGGGACGCAGACAGAACGTGAAGGTCTTAAAGTTGGCACTGCCACATGCGCTTCTTACATTTGCATTATTATTCGCATCCAATTTCGACGTATTTATATTGAGTTGGACGATTGCCTCGTTTTTGGTGGTGAGAAGTTCATCGCATCGCGTATACCAATTCTTCTACCTAAATTTTTCCATCGTTACCACCCGAAAAAGCCCATTATCATGTCTGGTACACAAGAGAAGCCGCTCAATGAGTAAGTCTTTCCTGGGCGTCCGATTCCAGCCCTTCAATGCCGCAACATTGCTAAGCACACCCATCTTTTCAGGCTCCTCTCCCGCTCCATGGTCGACATCTACGTCGGACCGGAAAACACACACTGGATTCTGCACGAGAAGCTCCTATGCCACCACTCCCCCTTTTTCCGCAAAGTGTTCTACGGCAAGCACTCGCACGCCTCCAAGACGCAATCCTTCGGCCTCCCGGACGAAGAAGACGCCCCCTTCAAGACGTTTGTCGGCTGGCTCTACTCCAGCTCGCTGCCCGTGCCGCGCGAAGAGTCCGACCTCGGCGTCTGCTTCGACCTGTACCTGATGGCGGAGAAATTCGAGATTCCGGGCCTCGTCGCCGATGTGCTGCAGGTCGTTCGCGAATGGTACAAGTACAGCGATACGTACCCGGGTCTTCGTCGCGTCCAGTACGTCTACGCCAATACCGAGCATGGCAGCCCGATGCGGCACATGCTTGTTCACGCTGTCGCGCGCATGATGGTTGTTGAGAAGGGGATGCCGGCGCACTGGGATAAGGCGCTCCGCAAGAACGGACAGCTTGCTGTTGATATCATCAAGGCGATTCAGGACTGGCGCCTCGATGAGTGTATGGTGCCCGATTCGA